AATTTAATAGACATTTCTTTACATCTGTAGAAATCGCAATGAAACATTGGATTTGAGGGGGTACCTGTTATAAATTTGACTAAATGGTATAAAATGTGTATATTTTCACCACTATTTTGTATTTTTGAACCATTAATCATGTTAGACATGGTATCTGGAATAAAAGCACTAGTTATAACAATTTACACCTGTGAGCTGATCATTTGTAATTAAAAGTACATGGAAATGGGAGTGGGACAACCTTTTTGACCAATATGTTGTATGTAATTTTGGTGCTATTCATCTATGTATTTTATAATTATCATCATCATTATTATTGTTGCTATTGCTTTACCTCTGTACATTTTCACCAGCTCAGTCTGGTGCAGAAAGTATGAATAAAGCATATATGTGATAAATATAACTTTTCCATTGAACTGACAACTGGATGCAGATCAGATGAGGGAAAACTCCCTTTATTCGCCGTAATATCCTATATTTCCCTTTACTATTGAATATGATTACTTTGGTTTTGAACCCGTGAATGTTGAGTCTCCAGGAACTGCAGTGTGCCCCCCGCTGAGTCAGATTATATCGGAGACCTGCTGCTGTAGCAGAGAAAAGGAATAGATCATTTGCGTGGAAAATGCAACTGTTGAGTTTGCTATTGCTCCGTGGATTGCTCAGTGTTTTTGTCAAGCAATGCATACTCCTGTCACATAAATAAATAAATAAATAAATAAATATGAATGAATATGAGGAACACAGCATTAAGAGCTAGTCTCCATCAGCCAAAAGACATCTCCTAAGGCCAGCTTATTCACGATGTTACCTGGGGAAATGGATGTTAAAGAAAACAGTTAGAACAGAATTACATCAGACTGAGAAACAAACCATATATTGTTCAGTAAACGTCCAAATATTAACCTGCGCGCGGCTTGTCATAAGTGCTCAAAGTGCTTATTTTGCACTTCTTTTCAAAATGCTTCCAATATGTTTTGGCAAATTGCCACGTTATAAAAATAAAAAAGACACTCCAATATCTTCAGGAAAAGTGGGTATACCAGTGATTTAATCATAAGTTTTTTTAATGTAATCTGTAAAGGTTGAGATTTTGTCTAAACCGCACAGTTACCATACGCGTCAGGGACCCTAAATGACCTCCAAATATACTTATCTTAAAAAACGTGTATCATTCCCATCTGACAGTGTTGGCATCCTTGGAGAATTTCCACAGTGACAGAAATCTATGTTGGTTTGAAGGAGCACGGGAAGGGTTTAGTAATTGAGATAAAATGATTAGTTTTTATTGCTTTTATATCAACAGAACACTCTGAGTCTCATCTGGTAAACCCGGCCCATCCCTGGATAGTTGATGAGTTACAGTTCATTGTCTGTAGGGGCCTATATATGTACGGAATGGTCCTCACAGTTTTATAGAGTTATACCAAAACTGATGTTCCTACACAGAGGCCACGCCCAATATATCGAAATCCTACCACCAGGGTATAGGAGTCACTCTCCTTCAGGATATGCTGCTGCAACTAAACAAAAACCACCCGGTCCGTTTAGAATGAGGGGCAAATTGTCACCAAAACGCGTTTTTCAAGGCTCTAAGCGACCACCAAACTGGAGCCGCCCTACCTGTCACCCATTAAAAGTTATAAAAACACGATTTTAGTCCTTATTTTCATCAATCAGTCAGCAAGACAGGAAAAAAACTGATGAATTATGAATTGGAAAAAATATTTCATATTAAATGTTACTATAATTCGTTATTTATAACGTTATCTGGTAACGAAAATGTTACAATTTGTAGCGTTGTTTTTGGGCTGTATATATCTGTATGTATATATGTAACAATGACATCAAAAATAATCTGTGCGAATATGAAAGTGGTGACAACTACTGTACTAGTCCTTCCTCAAAATGAGCCAAGCCACAATATTTAAATAACAAAAGACAGGTGAACGAACTGCGACTGTCTTAACCAATGACCTTCCGACAGCATTGAGTGCTGTGTAGGTCTTGGCAAGGACGTATATTGAATCAATATACGCCCTTGGTCTTGGGGATTTTAAACCACTTTTGAAAGAATGGCTACTTAACTATCCCAACCAGCAAAGAGCTAACAAAATTGATTCCATCAATTTATTTGTAAGAACTAACGGATACAGTTTTCTTTGAGAATGACTTCAACAACATCCGTGTACCTGGTTCAATTTGCATAACAATAACTCGATCGGCTCAGAGCGAACAATATTCTTGACTGGTCACTTGAGAGCTAGACACTGTGAGTAGAGGACGCAGGAAAGGTGTGGCCAAGTCAAAGAGCCGAACATTTCATTCACCGTTAAAACTCGGACCCAATATGAACCCCGGTATGATGAAGTTGAGACAAATATCCCGACATTTCTGGTAAGTAAAATTTCGTGTAAAAGCGAGAAATAAATGTTTTCAGAGCACCAGGGGTGTTTCTTACAACTTTTTGCGTGTTTAACTAGTTAAAATTGTCAGGTTTGTTTGGGTAGTGTAGTTCACTGGATTTTACAAAAGTTGAACATTGATAATGTCTTAAAGTCTTAAAAAGCATGAAGTCAACAGATGCAAAAATTATATGGAGAAGTGTGCTATTATAGATACTTTAAATACCACCCTCTATACGTAAATGCGGTACCTACCGGTAAACACTGAATTATGCCATTTTGATATAATTATAAAAACGTTATTTTTATATTTCAGAACTGCCAGCTTCTTTGCCGAGATCCAGCAAAATGCAAATGCGTTGCATGGAATCTTCCCTTGTTTTCTGCATGATTTTGGAATCGGGCACACACACACACATACCATTTTTTTAAAGATCGTTGTGCTTTTCTTTGTTGATATCATGTAAAAGATAAAGAAATGAATGTAATATTTATGTGAGCTATTATTTCAAAAACTATAATAATGCGTTTTCACTTCATTTTTATACAAAAAATGCTTTTACTTTTTCCTTTATTTTTTGGTTGCCAATATTATATTTCTAACAATTTTGTGATTATTGAACTGAAAAATAAATATCACTTAAAGCAAAATTGTTGTTGGAGATATGTCTATTACAGGTGGTAACAGATACGCACTGTTTTTTAGTATAAAGAAAATAATAATTAAAAATGCGTGTTTTTATGATTTTTAAATTTTTTGTCAAAATGATCTGTTGTAAATGTTTGTCCTATAATAAAGGATATAATCCAAAATCGTTTTATTGTTTGTAATGAGTGTGGATAGTGATTGTATTGGTGTGGGTGATAGGAATAAAGTTGTATTTGACTGGTGATAAATGGGCGAGTGCAATGACGAGAGAGTTCATTCCGTAGATGGGTGAAAAGTGTGGTGAGTTAATTTTGAGGGGTAACAGTTTGGACGATTCCAATCCGTTTTGAGGGGTGAAAGGTTGGGCGAGTTCATTCTGTCTTGAGGGGTGAAAGATTGAAAGAGTTCATTCTGTTTTGAGGGTTGAAAGGTTGGGAGAGTTAATTCCAATTTGAGGGGTGAAAGGTTGGGCGATTCCATTCCATTTTGAGGGGAGATAGGTTGGGCTAGTTCATTCTGTTCCAAGGGGTGACAGGTTGGGCGATTCCATTATGTTTTGAGGGGTGATAGGTTGGGCAAGTTCATTCTGTTCCAAGGGGTGACAGGTTGGGCGATTCCATTATGTTTTGAGGGGTGATAGGTTGGGCAAGTTCATTCTGTTCCAAGGGGTGACAGGTTGGGCGATTCCATTATGTTTTGAGGGGTGATAGGTTGGGCAAGTTCATTCTGTTCCAAGGGGTGACAGGTTGGGCGATTCCATTATGTTTTGAGGGGTGATAGGTTGGGCAAGTTCATTCTGTTCCAAGGGGTGACAGGTTGGGCGATTCCATTATGTTTTGAGGGGTGATAGGTTGGGCAAGTTCATTCTGTTCCAAGGGGTGACAGGTTGGGCGATTCCATTATGTTTTGAGGGGTGATAGGTTGGGCAAGTTCATTCTGTTCCAAGGGGTGACAGGTTGGGCGATTCCATTATGTTTTGAGGGGTGATAGGTTGGGCAAGTTCATTCTGTTCCAAGGGGTGACAGGTTGGGCGATTCCATTATGTTTTGAGGGGTGATAGGNTTTTTTGAGGGGTGACAGGTCGGGCGAGTTCATTCCGCTTTGAGGGGTGACAGGTTGGGCGAGTTCATTCTGTTTTGAGGGGTGAAAGGTTGGGAGAGTTAATTCCAATTTGAGGGGTGAAAGGTTGGGCGATTCCATTCCATTTTGAGGGGTGATAGGTTGGGCTAGTTCATTCTGTTCCAAGGGGTGACAGGTTGGGCGATTCCATAATGTTTTGAGGGGTGACAGGTTGGGCTATTCCATTCCATTTGAGGGGTGACAGGTTGGACGATTCCATTATTTTTGAGGGGGTGACAGGTTGGATGAGTTCATTCTGTTGACAGGGGTGACAGGTTGGGCGATTCCATTCTATCTTAAGGGGTGACAAGTTGGGGGAAATTCAAATTTTTGGCGTATCTTGAATGTTGTCTTTAACCACTTTCTCATTTTAAATGTTAAATTTTTGAGTCGAAAAATTCAACATTAATCAATTTGTGATACAAAACCCAGTATCCACAAAAATTGGGCCTGTACTTTACTAAGACAAGTGGAAAATATTTTCTGGGAATGAATTTGTTCCAAGGAATTTAAAAACAATCTTGTACAAAACGTAGAACAAATTTCCAAAAGGCAAGTAAATTGGAATTGTTGGAAAAATCTTGTAAATATATTCTTTCAGAATGTCACTTCCATTTAATGTTCATTTTCTATCATTTACAAAATACTGGGTATGTTTTTAAAGCTTTTAGACCATTTTCAGATTCAAATATTGTAGGAATTTGTCAATTGCAAAGACAATATATATTGATCATAGCATATCAAATGTGAAAATGTCTAAATACTTATCACTGCTTATGACTAACTCATACAATCTTACTACTCCTTTCCACTTATTATTATAATATCTTAATCATCATCACATAATATCAAAACAAACAACAAGTAATTACAAAGGTGTTTATTCAGTTTTAATATAATAAATGCATGGTTTGGCGTCGGATTCCTAGCCGTGAACTGATAGTTGCTTTCCAGAGCTTCTTGATGGGCTACTGAAATGAGAAAATAATGTATTCAATATTTGATTTAACGACCAGGCTTTAATGATATGATTTATGTGTGCAACATCATAAACAGGGAGATGGCACTTGAACTTAAAAAGACATGCGTGTTTACTGGCCTGTTCGAAGTTCAGGTCCATTTAGCACAGAAAAAAGCTGGATTTCTGAATGAGAGATCTTGCAAAATACACCACATTTTTTTTTCATTTACGGTGGTTATAACTACTGTCGTTTATAAAATGTGTATATATGTATATGTTGGATGGTACAATATTTATATTCTCTGTGCATCACGTGTTTGGGGGTAACGTTTGAATGATATATGCACGTATGGAGTATTTTAGAAAATTTTAGAAATGATATTAAATGAAACACAATTTGGGGGGGGGGGGCGCTATTTCAACAAAATTTGCTGTTTGCCGTGTTATGAATGGACAACTTACGTGTCAGCGGAGACGGCAGAGAAGTCGAGTAAATATGGATGAGCAATGTGACAGGCGCCTGTGTGTGTGTGTGTGTGTGTGTGTGTGTGCGTGCGTGCGTGTTGTATTATATAAAGCATACATACCTTACAAAGCGTTCTTCAGCCCAAACCTAATCTGAAATAAATAAAAACTTTTATAGCTAATAATAATAATAATAATCTATTTCTCAAAATTGCACCACACAAAGGTCTCAGCACTGCTTTTAAACATTCTGTATAAAATCTAAAATAATTCAAAAAATTGTTGCTTAAGTTGATGTCCACGTAGATGGGACAAACATATCCTTGGAACAGAAACTCAAAACAGTGGCAAGCAATTATTATCTCTATTAGTCAGTGTTGCTCGTGGCTATGCTTAATTTTAGATTAAATAACGTTTGGAATTAAGTAAAAGTGTTTTTCTTGTCACAAAAATGTTCACACAGAGCCAAATAAGTGCAGAACTAAAGACCAAGTTTTTCGATGAAATACGGGTATTTTTCTCTTGGTAATACACGTCTCTACCTCCATCTCTCGATTTCTCTCTACAGTATGTCAAATAATACACTGCCACCCTCTCGTGAAATATGCATTGATATAAAACACATATCACTCGTGTTGACAGTGTTTTATCCCACACGTAATATAACAAGGCCTCGTGTTATAAATAAATTGTATTCAATAACTATACTAAGATAGTTGTAGAAATTGTCATACTTACAAAACGTGTTTGCAGCAATGCTTCTCCGCCGTATAAAAGTTCGACAGCACCTTGCACGTATATCGTTGCGAGTTTACCCAACGGAGTCCAGCTGCCAAGTGACCGTGCTTGAAGACAGCTCGGACTACACTGAGCGTCTTATTGTTATGCAAATTACAGCAGGTATGGTTCATTTAAGGTGTGACGTTGTGACTGACACTGTTCACGTGATATGACAGAAGATATGACTGGATGTATTCTTGTTGTTGATTTACACTGCTTTATTCTAGAAAAAATACACGTGTCAGGGGCGAATCCAGGATTTTTTGAATGGGAGGGGGGGGGGGGGATGTCCGCGGATGCAAAGCCGCACAAACCCCCCCCCCCCCCCCCCCAATAACACCCCTTACCCTTAAATTANTTGGGGGGGGGGGGGGGGGGGGGGATGTCCGCGGATGCAAAGCCGACAAACCCCTCCCCCCCCCACCACCCCCCCACTTGGCGTTGGGTTCGGGGCCCACTGAAGGGCCCCGAATTTTTTTTGGTAGTTTAGAGGGCAAATGATGCCATTTGATACAGTTTAGAACTCTGATTCAACTAGAAAAGCACTCCGAGAGCGCAGACCTCCGCCAAGGCAGCGATTTATTATTATTATTATAATTGATTATTGATCCGGATCACCACCAAAAACTAATCATCTCTTCCTTGGCCCGCTTCTGACAGTTCCTGAAAATTTCATCAAAATCGGTCAATAATTTTATGTAAAAGTTATGTTGATGACAGACAAACAGTGGTGAAAGATAACCTCCTTGGCCGAGGTGAAAATGCGGGCTTTAGCGAATACCTCGACCCGCCAACATGTAAAACGTCACATTCGGGGCAAAGTAAATACACTTTTGGTGACTATTGGCTTGATGATGACGATGATCCAAACTTCATTTTTTGGATATAATGTCTTATGTGATGATTTGAGGTATTCCTTTAAGCCCAAAGTTTTTTTCCAATTTAAACTTTACCAAAGCAAAGAGGTCCACTTTTTCAGAAAATACCATCCCCTTTGAAATGGGTCCGTCTAATTATTATAACGTCCACAAACGATCACAAGCGTCCACGTTCTCTGTTAAGTTATCGTTCAGTAGATAGTGATTTCCCAAACATTTTATGCTTGTGGAAGCCAGTGGTCCTTTGTGGATGTTAATAAAACAGACCGCTTTAAAATTGTTGGCTATGGGTCTGTTTTTATCACCCAAATTTATTTCACCAGCTTCACGTACAGGTGTATCAGTACATGGATTTATGAAATTAAAGACAAGTAAAATAATTGGAACTTGTCTCCTTGGAAATCGGGGAGACACATGTATATTTTTATTCATATATTTATTTAATAATTCCACACCTTAATGTGGATTTAACAAATATTTTAAAAATGTATAATTTTCCAATGAGAAAATAAATTGATACACTTCATAGGTAATGTTCTTAACTTCGCGACGAGTTATAATTCAATCTACAGATTAGCATGCTTTATGCTGTATTTGCAACACTTTTGAAAACGGTATAATTCTCTAAAGCCATTACCAAGCCTACTAGTACACTTTGACCCCTTGCTAAACTTAAAGCAGCAAGTTATATTCTGCTCTGATATGATTTAGATAAGATGTAAATAAACCTTTCTTTCTACCTTTTTTCAATCCTTTTCATTTACTCTGAAGTTACAAATAAAAATCTTTAAAAATGCTATTTCAACTTGGCATGATCTGTGCTCCATGAAGTAAACAATTCAACAAATGTTTAACAATGTGAAAAAATAATTCGACTGAAAATGTAATATGTAAAAGTATTCCTCTGGTGATAGTACACGCCATTAGTAAAAAAAAACCCAATAATTCAAGAGATCTGAATGATAAATCTTCCAATTCCAATAGGATCTTAAAAGTTAGTGAACCTTAATGAAGGTCGAATTTGAATCTTGAAAAAAGACTGGACGAGATCTATTCTATTTCTTTTCTTGAGATTTCTGTTCATTCTTTGTATCTTTTGTGGTTTCCTCTGAGTTCTTTGCTTTTAAATTCCAAGTGTCCTCTAGAGTTCTGAACCTGACAGCTACTTCTGCCAAACTTGTCTCATCGTACTCTTTGCGCTCCCTGATCACCTACAAAATTAAAGAAAAAAATGAATAATCGAATGCATGAGACATATGCTATCATGTCAGAAGTGGTAAAATGTAATTTAAAATCAAACCTTATTTTTCTGCAAAGTTGTACTTTCAATCAAAACTCTAACTTAGTAACTCACATTTCATGGCTTTAGGGGAAAAATTACATTAGGTCCATTTTAAAATCACTCTGGTATTTTTTTCTAGTCAATTAATGGGGTTTTCACCCAAACAGTGTTACCATATTAAGTGGTTGGAAATTACACTCACTGTTCTTATTATCTTTATCAAAAAATACTTAAGGCAGCAAATGGTCAAACAACCTGGATATTCAAGTATTTCATTTATAAGAACCTCACTGGTTATGTAAAAAACAACTTGGATTTTTAAGGAAGATCATGAACATATTTCCCAAATTTTTCGTAGAGCATTTGTGGTGCTTTTACTGCACAGAATAACGTAAAATGATTTTTTGTCCAGTTTAATTAAGTTAGGGTTAAAAAAAACTTTTTATAGTATTTTTTTTTCCTCACTTCACCTCAGAACCAAATTACTCACTTTCTCTGCTTCAGCCATATGACTTTCAGATGACATGTTCCATGATAAAACCCCGACGATTCTCTTGCCTTTCATGTAAAGCACCACTCCTTTTCCACCATTCAAGTAATTCCCTGCAGGTGGCTCACTCTGGTGAAAAAAAGGTAAAATTTTGCTAAGATGGCACCTACAGCAATTGTGAGAAATTCATTAACATTTACAAAGTCCAACATGAAAGTACAAACTATTTGGTACAGTATCTGATTATCAATATAGTAAAAGTAAAAATAAACCAACCTTCAAATGTTACGTGTACCTTATTCACTATGCAAATTTTCTTTAAAATTATAAACTATTTGACTTGAAACTCGAAAGAGTTTTGTAAATAATAATTTTGATTTACCTGATCATCATTTGGAAATGGAAACGTAAAAGTATTCAACTTTGAGCTGACCAATCCTATACCCTGACAACCAAACTTTGGACCAAGATCAGTCCTGAATTGATATTAAAACAAAGATTAGAAGAAAACAGTATGAGTCAAGCAATGAAATTCAGGGTGTTTATACAAGTTATTGGACTACACTGTATGATTGTTAACATGTGACCAGCACTTTAAGGACCTATTTCAATTAGTAGTGATAAACAAAAACAAATAATTAAAAATGCAGTATTTCAACAGTTTCAAATTCATCCCACGTCTAAAAAACTTGAAATAAATGTTCATAGTAGTAAGATTTAAAAAAATGCACTAATTGGTAAACTGACCAATGAGAATTATAACTTTAATAACTGACAATCAATGAAAACAATTTATTCCACTACATAACTCATTGGCACAATCATGTNAAAAGTGCACGGCGACGGCGACGACAGCGACGACGGCGACGACAGACGCAGATGATGGCTATATGTACAGACACATCTGTGTCTGTACATAAAAAGAAAAAAAAAAACGTAGGCAAAATGGAAACTGTGTCAATAGAGACTAAACATAACATGTTCTTACCACCAATATGCCTGTTTTTTGTAAGAATCTTTCTTCCCTGTCATGTTGTTTCCTGCTATGTTCCCTGAGATAACAGCCTGCACCACGTGTTCCACTCTCCTACGTCCCAGCTTGGGATCATAGTAACATGCAGCATCTCCTGCCTATAAATAAGTGACTGTTCGTAATAGAACGGTAATGACTCTTTTTCAATTGTGAATTTTACCAATCTGTTTTTTTTTAAGTCGTTTTTCCTTAAAATTAGCACATTCCTATTGAGTGGTTGCTACAAAATAAAAAAATCAAGACTAGTACTCTAGAGTTCTATGCAGAAAAAGCATCAGAAATGCTCTACATAAATATAATTTTTGGAATTATAAAATTATGTATCTGAAAATTTGACAATTATTGCCCAGCAAAAAGAGTAATTACCAATATGTCTTCTCCGTGTGTGTGTGCATGCGCGCGCTTGTGAACATGTGTAAATATGTGTCAGAGGGGAGAACTGAACTGTCCCTTGACTAAGTATCTTATTCACAAATCAAAAGGGAACTCTGTCACAGAAATGCCTTCACACCAAAACAAGCTAGGAAAAAGTACTAATACTAGTAAGACATTTTTAATTTGAATGGTATTTGCCATTATCAAAACTGTTATCACACAGATAGCCAGTGTGGCCAAAACCCAAACTCTAGCCCCAGAAAGACCTGGATGACCATAAACTTTCCTCAATTCAGATGATGTATTTTGTATGGATACATTTATGAAATGAGCTTAAAATTTTATCTTACCACATACAAGTTTGACCTTGCTTCCATCTCTGTGTTGACCATGAAGCCTCCTCGTATGGGGTCCACTTCTAGTTCTGCACTCTCCGCCAGCTCCACGTTAGGCTGGATACCTACTGCTACCACCACGTGATCCACTAACACCTGATATATATATATAAAGAGAGATGCTATCTACTAGTATGTGATACATGTACATACACTTTGTACACACACACACACACACACACACACACACACACACACACACACACAGAAAGAGCATGTGCATGTTTCACATACTAGTATATAGCATCTGCACTCTTAAAAATGATGCATCTTTACAACATCATTGGCAATATAATAGTCAATGCAGTTCTCATGTCTGGTTATAGTTACTAAAAAAAGCTGAAACATTGTTACAATTCATAGTGCAAAACACATAAAATTGCTTAGTCAACTACAACAACTGCTTTCAAACTTGAAAGAAAATTGCTGAACAAAGAAAGTAGTAAAGATAAATGATCGATGATGTACATCCCCAAGGTATCAGGTTCTAACCTCATGAATGAAATTTTATGATGAATTGATGATATCAATTAGAAAACATTTTTGATGAACTGAATAATTACCTTTTCGTCATTGCCCAGTTGTAGCACAACCTTGTTCTCTTTCTTGTCGTACTGTACACCAGTAACAGTGCAAGATGGCCGCACTTCAACACCCTCTGTATTGGAAAATAGACACAAATCATCATTTACGTGGGTCAAATTTACTTCAGAGAGAGATGAAGTCATGCTATGAGGCATCATGGACTGCCTGGGGATGACACTGAAGGCTGGTTTTAAAAATGGTGACAGAGGATAAGGTAGAAAGAGAATGACAATGTTCGACCACTGGCGCAAGAAAAAAGAAAACGGTTGGAACGGAAAGTTATGGTGAGATCAAACAAAGGGCTGAAGATCAAGATGGATGGTGTGTGGGACCCTTATTATCCTGCCTCGCGAAAGACAACCAAGAAGAAGAAGAAGAGCTCATAGAAATGTTAAACATCATCATAACAGATTGTAAGTGAATTTGGAACAACATGAAGCGTGTATATATATTTTAGTCCAATTGTCAATCAATTTCAAGAATGACAACATACTATAAACATATTAACACATATTTGGGTATTTGGTATTAAAGATGTATATATTAGCTAAGCCCATTATCTTAAAGTTTATTATAAACATTATCATTATATTTTATAATATTTAATATTATTACATTTAAGACTGAAATCTAAACTTCAGTATTATGTTTATGAAGATGACCATAAACTTACCACTGGTCACAAGGTCAATACAGTGTTTACTCATTTCTTCAGGAAGGAGTCCTCCAAAGTGACCTTATAAAAAAATTAAATTAATATGACTTAATGTGTGATTTTAAGTCCACAAAGTGAACCAAATAACCATAAATCCCAAACTTGTTGAATCTCCATGGGTAATTCTCCTATGCTGCTATAACTTCTAATTAAATGATTTAAATGATATGGTTGTTAAAACCTGGCTATACCCAGTGAATATTTTATTTATGCATATGTCATAAAGTCGCCTATGGTCATTAAAGGCAACTTCCACACACACTAAAAAAAGCTGTTACCCATCAGCAGTATATATTTTTAATGAGCAAAATGAATTTTAATTATTCTATTGTATTTTATTTTATCGCCAGATCATATAAATTGTCATTTATACTTTTATGTATAAATATGACAATAAATTATTATTATTATTATTATTTTTTTAAGCAAGGAGATACCAAACAGTATTTGCATGATCTTTGGTATGAAATGGTCAGGGATCAAACTCACCAAATCTACTCCCAAAACTTACCTTCTTCCATCAGCAATTGCACCACCTTGCAGCCACTACTTTTCCCTGTAAACCACAAATTCTGTATATTAAATAATAAGTACAACTAGAGGATCAGACTTACTGATCCACAGACTAAATATGGCTGACCCACCATAAAAGGTAGCCACTTAATTCACGATGGTCTCCCCGCCTTGAAACAGGCCATAAAACAGATTAAATCTTAGCTCCGAGGTTTAATTGCTACGTCCCTGCAGGGACAACATGAGTGGAGGATGGGAAACCATCAGGAGATTATAAGCGGCTACCTTTTATGTGGGGTTGGTCATATTTAGTCCGCAGATCATATGTTCTGAATGCGCTCTAAAAGTGTCAGATGTCCTTTTTAAAATTTTACTTTTTAGAGGTCAATAAGTATGATCTATCCACATGTGAGATAAAGAACTTTTTTTTTTGATTCATGGGAAAACAGTTTTGTCACAGTTCACATGGTCATATTGTTGATAATCAAAACATTACCACTGAATGTACATAAGCAATCTCAATATAAAAAAATACCCTCAAACATCTGCTTAAACTTAAATGATGTACATGCATGAGCAGAAACTGTGTCAGTACTTACCCCTATTCCCAAGGCCACAAGCTAATTCAGTTCCCAGAAAGCCACCGCCTATTACTGCAACTGATTTTGCTGTCCTTGAAATATGGTCTAGACGGAAAAAATCATCAACCTACAACAAAAGATTAATTAGGTTAAAAAAAACATCGGAGTCATTATAAAGTAGATATTCTGCAGCAGTCACGATAAGATGATCTAGACAAAAGTTTCTTGATGAAATACTGAAAATACTGAAAGCAGCAGTCAAAGGATGCCACAAATACCACTAACAGAAACCTACAGAAAATTCATGTGTTTTAATTGGGAAAAGCAGCAAAAATCTCTGCTGCAGTTAATTTTTTATATTAAAATTAAGTATATATATGTATGTATAGACTTGTATAAATGCATGCCAATGTACTGGTACATGTATGTGCACATGTATATGTGCCAATTTGTGTTTCTTAATTAATAATGTACTCACAGTTCTAAACACGGAGGTTTTATTTTTAACCTCTTCTTCTGCTCCTTCAAAGTATGCTGGCATCTTTGGTGTACCTCCTGAAGTCAAAAAGATATTTTGAGTACCATCACCTTAAATCTTCAATAAATGTATCTTTTATAAACTAGGAAGAATTTATGTTAGAAGGGCTTACTAATAATGGTGTCAACATTTAGGGACCATTCCCAGACCCTATCGTACAAACTGTGGATTGATCTATCTCCAAGGGGATTCTAAATTGCAATCAATTTTAGCAGCTTAGATGTCTGCATGCCACGTCTACTGAAGCTGCTAGGGGTAATTAATTATCATTTACCTATAATATCAAAATCTGTTGAAAGATAATTTTATTTGTTCATTAATGTAATGCTACAATGTATACATTATCTACCTGTACATTATGTACTTGTATACAATAAATATAATGCTCAAACACCTCATTTTTGTGTCTCACCTGTGGCAATAAGGCATTTGTCATAAGCAATTTCTGTCCCATCCTGCAGAGACACTTTCTGGTTCTCCACGTCTATACTGGTTACCTGTGGTTTTATAGAAGACACTGGTTAAAAAGGACATATCTTAATCACTTAATCACTTATGTTAAGACAGATATTTGATAGTTTAAAGTTGTCAGTGTATAAGAATATTTCAAGGAAATTTTCAGTTAGAAACTTGAAACGTCTTTGACTTTTATGACATGAGCTTTAACCTTAGCACTCCTGATTTGACGATGTAATATGTTAGTTGAGATTGTTTTGTATTGCTATATAAGATTTCTATATAAGTAAAGTACAGTCCAGTGCAAGTTTGAATCTCTTCCTGTAAAGCTGCGTGATCTGCTCCATTTGGTAGCTTATATTTAAAACTGTCCATTGTATAACTTGCTCTGATTGGTGAATGTGAACTAGCTGAACTTGTATACAAGGGCTTACTAGGAATAGATTGTTCTCTTTTATAGGCTGTTAAATGCTGAAAGCTCTCTAGTAATTAAGTTCTCTGTGTTATTTTTATAAGGCGCTTGGCCACAGCAGCCAAACACTGACCATATGATTACCTTTTGTCCAATGGCTACTTTCACTCCAGGTTCATCGGACGTGATGTCCTTGAAGGCCTCCATGGGGATAAATTCAAGACTGCAATTATCAAAAATATGTATGGCCGTATTCAGAACAGTGGACTAACTAGTCTGCGGGTCAAATATGGCCGACCTACTTGAACACTATCCACAGGGAACCCATTCAGTGTCTATTAGCAGGTTAGATGGCAGGCTTCTTAGTGGGTTGCCATATATGACCCTCGGACTAGTAAGTCCACTGTTCTGAATGTGGCCTATAATACTTAAAAAGAAAAAGAAAACAGAAGTGGTACATGTATTGTATATAATTCTAGACATTTTTCTTTCTGTTGGTTCACCTTTCATCAAATCATAGTTTCATATTTTTCAGCAGAGAGCAATGAAGACAAAGTTATTCTTACATATAAAAATAACTTATAAATAATTGACATTTTTACATATAATAAACTACAAAAAAAAAAGAAAAAAAATCCATGCCCATACAGTATGCTGCTAGCCAAATCAACTGCTCATGCACTTACTGATTCATTTTCCCCTTGTTGTTTTGCCATAGCAGTTCCTTTGCATTGTCTTGTTCTGTGTAGTACCACATGTCTTTGGAGAGAGGGGGGCGCCTGTATGGTTGAATTGTCTCATCACAAATCATCAGTACCTGTAAATCAAAACAGAAAAGCTGTCAAATGCATATCACTGCTGAGGTAGCGCCAGCAAATTTTTTAGCTTAGCCAAATCACTACTTTTTCATCACCTTTTCCACCATATATGCTTTGAATGTTGACTAAAACAATATAACCAACCCTATTTTGTTTAGCCAATCTATGTCAGTTTTAGCATTTGGCTAAAATGGCGAGTGTTAGCACTACCCCACATATGTGGATATGCATGTGCAATTGGATGTGTACAGAATGCCAGTGCATGTGAAGGTGAGTGGGCACATTCATATAAAGTACATATTTGTGCAAGTACAACTGTAATCAAGTAAATCACAATTTGTCATAATTCCCATTGTTTATAAAAGATAACTCATTTGAAGAACCTTAATACAACTAACCTAGTAACCATAAAACAGAAACTCATGCAGTTGTTCATTTTTTCTACCATTTTTGACTGACAAATTTAAAATAAAAAAAATTAACTTTAGCTCTACCTCAGCTTTGGGGTCATTTTTAGTGATGGTATTAGCTGCTGACATGGATGCCAAACCTCCCCCAATCAGCAAGTGTTGAACTTTCTTCGGGATGCTCGCCGAAGGTGTAACAGGTACAGCTGTGAGAATAATTAAAGAATAAGATCAACATCAATTTTTAAATGTAATTATGTAGCAATATTGAATCAAAACCCCCTTTACACTGGAAGGCGTCCTTTCTGCGTCCTTTGTGCCACCATGAAACTGGCATCGCTGTGGTCGTAGAAAGGAGACACAGGCATCGCTTTGGTTGCAGAATGAATCAGCCAGTTATCAGCACGTTTTTTACTCTCAAACAGGGCCATACTACAGACAAAGAAAGGATGCCGTCCAGTGTAAAGGGGGCTGGGCATGGACATGACTGGGCATGAATACAAAATCATTATGTAATAACGTACATCTACAATTTTAAAAATCAAATCCCCACTTTTCAGCCACGCTATAAAATGTAAGTTTTGATCAAATATCTGTATGTCTGATAAAGATCAAACTTTTTAAAGTGCCATTTAAATAGTCCCCCAATTCCTAATAATCAAAATTTCACTCTTAATTGATCCAAAAACACACAAAAAATGAAATTATCATGGCTGAAGTCTAACTGAAAGAATTTTGCAATTCTGAACCATAATATGTAATGGTTATTCAGCATGTAGTGATCATACTGAGAAAAAAAGACAAGTATCTTACGTGTTCTTTTATATTCTGTTTTATCTTCTGGCAGTATTAGAAGAGATGACACAGATTTCCCACTCTTCCATCTGTATACCTACAACAATTACACAATTGAGCAAAAATGTTCATCAGCTTGGTAGTTGGATCTTCAACACAAGGTGAAAAATGTTCATATCGTTAGTTTACTGCCAACCTGACATTTATCAGAGGGTCCTGTCTGCTATACAACCTGGCAGTCAGTGAGTGTCAACACCATCTGCTCACATCAGTCTGATGAAGGCCTGCATCCAGGTTGACCCTAAGCTAACGATATGAAAGTTTATTTGGCTTGTGTTTGATTATTTTCATTGTTTGGTCTACAGGGTTTACAGAATTGAGGTGATTTCGGTCTGTTAGGCAAATACGAATGCCCTTCTCTCCATTTTGAGGAACTGTGTAAGAAAGTATGTTGATATTCCCAAAAGTATCATGTACATGTACATTAACAGCAGGTAAAGAATTGTTCCCAGCTGATTATTTCCATACATGTACTTGTAGTTAAAATTTTTTATTATGTTATATTTTAAAGACACACATCCTCTAAGGGCTCATTTCCCTTGAGACTATCAGTCAATAGAGATCAAATAAACTCCAGGGGGACTCTTGCTGAATGCAATCAGTTCAACAGATTAACATGCCAGCTCTTGTTTCCTACTTAAATAATCACAAGCCTTTTCATATTCTACTCAATGCCAGGAGGAGGTGTTTATCTGTTAAACTGATTGCATTCAGCAAGAATCCCTGCGTGTAGGATCGATCTACATAGACCGATAGATTCAATAGGAATGAGTCCCATGCATGTTCAGGTTTACCTGATAACCATACCATACACCAAAGCATGCAAACACTGCTCCTACAAACTTTCCAGCATTTGTCAGAAATTCACGTCCTTTACTCCCTTCTTGTGTGAAAAACTCTTTTATACCAAATCCCTCGGTAACTGATTCGCCCATTTGCCAAGGGGGTTTAGACCCTGAGGTGTCTTTGTCACTGGACTGCCATCTCTTACAGTGGACAGTGGGACTGGACGGGGCCCTGGTCAGTTCATGGCAGGACATTGTCCTGTTGATGTATGGCCTGGCTATACCTGTAATTGAAAACGTAAGGTTAAGAGGGACGTCCTTTTAAAACACCTGTTATGTCACCTGTTATGTTATACATTTAATGCAAAACGTATCTAAGTGTGTAGATTCAAATCTACACAGCAACCCACTATGTGCATGTATATAATTTTTTTAATATATATTTTTAAAACAATTTCCAATGAATACTTTTAAAAGTATCTTTGACAGCAAAAAAAGTGTAACCCATTACAAGAGGGTTTTCTAATGTGCATACCAGCCTTAATACACCACTGCATTCATCAACAATAGTACAACTTCGATACAACAGATTAAAAATGTGGAAAAGTAAAATAAAATATAGTAATTTAAGTAGACATTGAACGCTGATATACATATCAATTACAGTGCCATAGACTGGCTGTACTGTATCCAAATATAGGAAATAATGTCATTTTATTATTGTTTTATTCTAGGTATATCATATGTAAACGGCTGACGAAACAAGAAATAATGTGAGAGGTTGCACACTTTAAACGGACTTTTAAAAAATCAACACACCACAAAAACTACGAGGACGGTTGTACAATGCTGTCAACCCCTGGTTGACCAGTTTCAACTTAGTTGACACGGTGAAATACATCGTCTGTCTTAGTTGTACGGTCGACCTTCAGTAATCCGAAGCACCGCAACCTTTACACGTTTTTTTAACTCCACTGCGATTCGGTCCTTCAACATTGAAGAACCATACTAATTACTTGTGATAGGTACTTGATGTCGCTCAACATCAACTAAAAAGCTAATTTTCGTGCAGTACTTGTGAAAGTCAACACAAATCATCCATTTCAGAATGTATAATAGTAGCCTTATTGTTTCATATTTGAGCAATTGGAATCATGCTATTGATATTTATGTCTGAAATTCATATCGATACCCAATGACTGTAGAACGACAATCGTGACGCGCCATTTTTGTTTTGAGCAACCGAATGTAACCGTTGCCTTACAGAGTGCGCTGTACAGTTTACATGACGCTGGCTTCACAACAACATCGCTGATTGCCAAAGTGGAATTACAAAAGCATTTCAGGTCAGTGGTGCCATGTATTTAAGTTTTTTTTCGTGGATTTATTGTTCATTAAAAATGTGTTTAAAAAAATTCAAAAGCCGGTAACGAAAGTCGGTGAACATTGTTTTTTTGTTTATCTTAGTTTGCGGTTAGTGTAGATCTAACAGTGTGGTATTTCTGCACAGTGTTCTGTTAATGCACAGTGATCTATATCTGAGTTAAATCTTAAGTGGAGTCAATTTTGGCTTGCTGTTTTGCTTCCAGAATTTAAATCACAATTTGCATTTTAAAATTTCATTTTCAAAATGCATGTGCAGTCAACTGACTCGTTTTTTCTTAAACCTGTCTGATAAGTTTGTATCTACCTTGAGTGATTTTATTAAATGTCATGCCATTTTTTATTTAAAATATGGGTTTCAAAATACTTGAATCAAAAGTGAATCCAGTCTACAAATTCTTTTAAAATTAATTTATATAATGAATATATGGGTCCCAGATAAAGAAACTTGCAAATAAAAAGATGTACATTACATGACACTCATTTAACAACAACAGAAAACAGTGTTCTAAAAATTACAGTCATTTTCCTTAAGTTACATTTACAATTTTGCTTTTTTTTTACCGTTATGATAGTGGAAATGTATATTTGTCACAAAATCAATAATAATTGGGAAAAATACACATCTGGTTTTTTCTACCAAAAAGCCAAAAACAGACATCTTAGGAGTTATTAATATAAAAATGAACTATTAGCTTTTAATCCCATATGTTTGTTCTATTCAGAAGCTATATCTCCCCTGGCCCTATTTGCACCATTAGTGGGGCAGCGGTGCAGATGACAAATGTGACAGTTGAACAAAGGCTTCACTTTTTGTTTGGTGACTGATGACTAATCTGGGTGAAATTGACAGTTTAACTTTGCCGCCTTAATTTAAATGTTTATTGCAATGTATAGATAAGGTTGTAAGTGTCCAGGTGGTTTGCTGATTTTTTTGACAGTCAGTTTATGTACTTTTTCTTCTTCTCTCTCTCTCTCTCTCTCTCTCTCTCTCTCTCTCTCTCTCTCTCTCTCTTTCTCTCT